TTTCATCGCAAGCCTTCATCGCCGTTAAGTTATACGTACATAGTTTACATACACAACTTAACATAGTTTTAAAGAATTAGAAAGCTGTTTTTTAAATCGTATAAAAATTATTTCTATTGAGATAGAGAATAATATCTTTTTTTTACTACTAACATGAGAAATCACCATTATTTACTCCATTCCTCTAATGAGAAGTAATATTTCTCTCCCTAGGTAAATAATGATAATAAAAAAAACCTAGGTAAATAATGAAACTAAATTTCATTAGTTTCATTTTGTTAATTTGACAACTAAACTCCCAGACTACTTGATATTTTGAAATATTTGAAAAATAAGTAGGAAATAACTAAAGCTGGGTTTATCAAATCTAATCAAATCAAATATGATAATATATCAGTGTAAACAGTAAAAATATATATTAACTAGGAAATTCAACACCGGCTTTAAAAATTATTAATTAATAACAATAAATCCATGTCATTAAAATATCAAAAATGCAATGGGATATTTCCCAGAATCATACCAAAATTTGACACATGCCCAATTTTTACATAAATAAAGCCAGTCTGATTAGAAACACGCTCCAGTCTGCTTGATATTTCGAAATATTTAACAAATTGTTAGGAAATTACTTATGTCAAAATTAAAATTGCTAATACATTAATGTTAGTAGTAAAAAAAATTCTATATATACCTCGGCTGAAAAAGCTATTATTTACCTCGCACATTATATCCCTCGGCGCTACGCGCCTCAGGATATATAAGTGCTCGGTAAATAATAGCTCACTTCTCACCCTAGGTATATAATGTACTATATTTTGGCCAAGTTTTCTATTATTTATAATAAATCAAAATATTTGTTTACAGATTTCAAATTTTATCGAAATTTAAAAAATATACAATTTATTTATGATACAGATATGATCTAATTAAAGGAATACCTACCTTAAAAAAACGTTTATTTTGTATAATAACCGTTTCTTATTAGAATCGTGTAAGTTTATTTTTTTGCCATCTTTTATTTCCACTTTTAAATATTCTGACATTTGTTTGAGAAAAGTATTATATAATTATAAATATTTTTACATGCATCATGAACATTTTAATGTTTTGAATAATATTTCATAATTCTGCAATTATTTTTTTATTGTTATCATTCTTGTCAAAGTTGTTGTTTTTAGTAGTATGTAAAGTGCCGCTTCTGTCCCAAGTTCGATCTCCAATCGAACACCCACAGTCTTAGCATATAAAAACAGAATTTGGAGAAGTTCTAGTGTCGAATCTAACCTACATCAGTTATAATAAATATTCAATCGAATAAAAAATATTTTTAAGTACAAAATGTAACGCGCGCTCCCATACTATTAATTATTCAACATAATGATAATCCAATACCTGATGCACTGAAGGTCAAGCGATAAGCGTATAATTGTTTTTCTTGATATGCATTTATAAACAACGATTGAAATAAAAACAATTGACTGCCGCCGTAGTGTAGTGGATACTGTGCTTGCCTTTGGTTAGCATGATCTGGGTTCAAATCCCAACGGTGGCAGTCGGCTATATTCTTAATTAGTGGACCTTGTAAATTTACAGTTGTCGAGTGGCCATTAGACAATTGTATAACAAGAAAATTAATTAGGAATTACTGTGCACAAAGCCCATTCCCTGTTTTCAACTATTCTATCTCATAAATTACTAGAGAAACAACACATGGACCGCAAAGATATCTATCTATAAACGATACGCAACTATCATAAGCGGACTCTAGTATGTGAGAGGGATTTAGTTAAGAAAAAGGGAATGTTTTGCGGTTTTTTTTAATGACGTTGATTATATACATCATCTTGTAAATGATTATTAAATGTCCTCGTGGTCGAGTGGTCTAAGGCGCTGGCCGGTAATCGGCAGGTCGGTGGATCGATCCCCCGCGATTTTTTTTTTTTTTTTTTAATAAAAAATGGTTTAAAAATAGAAATAAAATTATTATAAAATGGCGTATGGTGGGTTGCTTTGATATATTACGCATATAGATCACATACTTATAATAGGTATACGGAGCAAGAGAGACGTCCGACCTGTTTAACATAGGGGCGGCCATTTTTATACAAGATTACTAGTACATAGGTGACCAGAAATACAGCAATATGAAAACTTGGTTGCAGATGTCTAGCTCTTTCCACTTTTAAATACATAATTTTGTACAGATTTTTTAAAAGAAATAATACAATATTATATTTGAATTAAATTTTTATTCTACAACAAATAAAAATATTTTAATGTTTAAAAATACATGTTAGGCTGATAAATAATAGGCCGACAAATAATAGATTAAATACCTAAATACTAATTTTAAATGACAAAAGTAGAGGAAGTTAAAAATATTAAAATTTCCAGGATACTTTAAAATTAAATTGATGGTTGCATATTTGTTTTATTTTAAACAATTTACTTTCTTCTTGTATAATTTCTAAAAGCTACAAATTTTTAGTGAATGGGTCGTCCTTATTGATTCTGCAGTGAATTGTACTAACTTAAAAGAAATTTTGTCCAATCTCTATATGGCAGATAACCACAATAAGGAACGATCTGCTTGTTTTGGAACCCTAAAATAATATAAAGACACTGCTTTCATATCCTTTATTTTTGCTAAATCTTATTACTTGTGGAATGTAACATTTGAATCTATTGGCAACAGTCTTCTTATGTTCTTGCAAGATCTTACAAGACATCTTGAATAAAGCCCAGTATAGAGAACTTATACTGGGATTAAAGTCTATTCACAAATGTTAAAATAAATAAAACGTTTATACACTTAGAAAATAATATCCACAATCAAAATATTCTAAAATAACACAAAAAAATTTAACCAAATTCACAAACACATTAAAATTTGACACTTTTGACAGATGGAAAGATAAATTGGTTGCATAAGTTTCAGTTTGTTTATATAAAAATGGCGGTCATTTCTATCTTCTTTTATTAAACACTCAGTAAAGATGCGCAGAGGGTTTTACGCCGTATACCTATTTAAGTATGTGATATAGATGCAGAATGAGAGTTGACTGCATGACTGGTGACCAAACAATTAAAAAGTAATTAAAAATCGATTAGTAGATTGCTGTTAGCTGAGTTAGGGCGTGGCATTTAATGACTTTGGTGTCCCAAACAATTATTTTTTTTTTTTTTAATTATTTTTTTTTTTAATTATTTTTTTTTATTTAAAAATTAATAGTATGAGAACTAAGAAACTAATTTCTAATTTCTGTTAAAAAATCGTCATTAATAATATACTGATATAATTCAACATTGTCTTCATGTAAATAACCTTTATGATTCTTCATGAAATCTAGTGACAATTTCTGGTATTTACAAATATATTCCCAATCTAAGTTTTCCTTAAATTCGTCTATAAATTTTTCACTCAAAACTTGATATTTAGAAACAACATTCCAATTAACTCGATTTAAATAAGTTCTAATAAAATCTTCACTAAGTTTTTGATGACGACAAATTAAGTTCCAATTTACTTCCTGTTGAAAGAAAATTATAAACTCCTTAGTTATAACAGGAGATTTAGAGATCTCATCCCATACTTTTTGACAACTCATTTATAAAGAAAAAAATTTTTATAAACTACTTTAACTCTAAGATTACTGTAATATCAGCTCCATTAAAATCAATTAATTCATCGTTTTCATCACATATTCCGAGTTCAATTTTGTAAATATTATTATACTGAATTGGATAATATACAGGGATGGGTTCATAAATTATCAAATTGTTAAAATTAGAATTCAGTTTAAAACAAGAGATAATGTCGGTTTCTCTATGAATAAACTTACCACCTTCTACTAACATTCCATTAGCCAAATTACAGTGAATATTGATTGTTTCAACAGGAATAAATTTCTTCGAACTATTTAATAAATGTGAAAACTATCAGAGAATTCCATTATTTGATAATGAGAATTAATTTCTATTTTATTCCCATTTTGAACCAAATCAAATCCATATTTATTTAAATATGTTCTAAGTGATGCGTAATTATATTGTCCTTCTGGAATAGCTAAATAAGTTCCGTTATAATAAATTTTATTATTCTTATTTGTAACATTATTTATCAGATTCGTTGAGTAGAAACCCAATAGACCAACTTTGAGACCATTTGTTGGAAAATGTGTCTCAAAATGATAAGTCAGTACAGACTTGTTACTTTTTAATTTTAGTATCATTTAATATAAAAATTATATTTATAAATGGATGTTTATGGATATTTAGTTGGTTCGAACTCTAACACAGATCTTTCAAATATTAAGGCGGAAATAGATCAATTAAAACAACATGGTTTACCATTAACTGAAATAAATAATGTTAAAACTCAAATTAACAGTTTAAGTGATCAGATTAATATAGTAAAGAAAAAACAAAACCGAAGATTAAGTAAAAATCCAAATATTGTTTCTAAAAATCAAGAACTTGAAGACCTCAAACAAGAGATTAAAAAACTAAAACTAAAAGGAGCATCTAAAGATGACGTCAACAAAAAAATTGAAGAGCTCAAATTAAAAACAGAAGATTTGAATAAATTAAGCCGAGAATTAGAAGAAGCTATCATTGAAATAACTATTGATGATTTAAAAGAACTAACAAATGAATAATTAATCTAGAAAACAATCAAACTACCTTTATTAATAAAATACGAAATTTAGAAAGACTTAATAAGAATAGTCTGAAAAAATTAACACAATTAGATATTGTTAAACTTAATAATCAAATTGAAGATCTAAAAAAATCTGGTGCCTCCACTAATCAAATAGATAAGAAAATTAAAGAATTGGAACAATTAAACACATATTTAAAGATTATTGTAACAGATATTACAGATAATGATTTAACAGAATTAGACGAACGAGTTGAACACATTGAGGTTAATATAAAAGATGTCAAAAACAAATTAAGTGGACTTAACATAACACCAACATATATTTCTGTGAGGGGTAGAATTGTAAAAGCTCTTGATGCAGTAGACGATTATGATTTAGTAACGAAAAGACAACTAGCTGAATTAGAAAGAAGATTAAAAAATACAACATATTAAATATAATTGTATCCATTAATTTCAGCTTGCTTTAAATATTTTTCTCTGGGAAAGAACTGAATATTCTCAATAAATTCTTTTTCTCTCAAATATATTTCTTGATTGTTTAATTTCTGAGCTTTATTAAGATCTAACATTTGTTTATAAAATTTATAACACACCCTGTATTCAGTTAATCTCTCATTCTGTCTAATAGATCGTTCAAATATCTCTGCTATGCCAGAGAACAAAGATATAAAACATAATGGTAAGTATAAGTAGCCGCTTATTCCGGATACACTAAAAAATAATTTTAAAATCAATAATAAAATACTTATTTGCGAATAATAATTAAAGCTTTTTCTATAGACAAATAGACGTTTCTCTAAATATTCTTCCATTTAATTAGGGAAATTATACAATCCAAACATATCTATTCTATAATTTATTCAACGTCATTTAAATATAAAGTGTTAAGTATGATTTCTATAGTCCAGTCAATAATGAGTATTACTTAAAAAAATATTTTTATTAAATGAAAATTACACCATTTAAAGAAAATGTACCAAAGCAGTCAAATTTATTTCCAACACCTCTAAGATGTTTGATTATTGGCAAATCAGGTTCTGGAAAAACAACGATTTTATGGAATGTTATAACCAAGTATTGGGTCATTTACGAAAGTTTATTAATTTTTACTAAGTCAATTGATCAACCAATTTATCAAGAATTACAAGAGATATTTGTTGGAATAGATAAAATTGAATCACATTTCTACGATAATTGTGATGATATAATTAATGTAGATGAATGTAAACCAAATAGTCTAGTTATTTTTGACGACTGCATTTTAGAAAAACAACAAACAATTAAGGATTATTTTGTTAGATCTAGACCAAAAAATATGTCTTGTATTTATTTAACTCAGTGTTATAGCATAGTCGATTTACAAGTAATTAGAACAAATTCTAATTTTCTAATTATTTTCAAACAGTCTCAACATTACGTCAAAAAGATATGGGAAGATTTTATGACAGAAATGACACTTAAAGACTTTTATACATTTTGTAGATAAGGATGGGAACATGACTACGGTTTCGTTTGCATCGATTTGAAAAACAATAAATTTTACAACAAGTTTGAAAACGTTTCACAATGAAATCAACACGTTACGTTCTACGTTACGTTATGTCGCGTTACGTTCTACGTTACGTTATGTTGCGTTACGTTCTACGTTACGTTATGTCGTGTTACGTTATCACGTTACGTTATGTCATGTTACGCTATGTCACGTTCTACGTTACGTTACGTTATAGTCTATATCATGTTGTCTTATTAAATTTTCTGTTACTTAAATATATATTTTTTTTTATAATAAATGGAAACAGAAAATATTCAGAGACGTTTAATAAAGAAAATTGAGAAAGTAAAAAAAACCAGAGAAAAATTAAAAAGTGAATTAAAACATAATGATCAGAAGAAACCAAATCATTCTGAAATCTTTCAAAATAAAGAAGATGTAATCAAAATTCCTGAAACTCCTAAAAGTATCACAGTTGAACAAGCTAAACAAGCACAAAATATACAAAAAGGTTTGAATAAAACATTTAAAAAAGAAATTCTAAATGATCGGAGTGGGTTAGAGGAAAAACAAAAACAATTCCTTCCTATTACTACTGCATTACAAAAAGTTGAACAAGCTGTTAATAATACAGATACTGATATAAAAAAAATAATTCCAAATATTCCAGCTTTAACTTTACCAGAAATTAAAGAATCTAAAGATATGGAGACTCAAACACATGCTATGATAAGTCTAGGTCCAATTTCCTCACATTATTTAAAGATGGTACCTACAAAAAGGGATATAAAAAATATTTCAGATCGGTATGGTATTTACAACGATGCAACTAAAAATGCATATATGATTGGGAATATAGAAGTGTTCTCCAAAGATAATGATATCATTGTAGGTGAGACAAAGTATACTGGTACAACAGGTTTGTGGGAATTACTAACATCTGCCGACGCCCCAAATCAAAAATTGTATACTAAAGACGACTACAATAAATATAAAAGAATTTTGTTTGATACTAATTGTTTATATCAAAATTATGACAAATCCACAGGAAAAGTTCGTTCAAATACAGGTAATAAATATCAAAACTTAATCAAATTTATATGGGCTGAATTAAAATCTAATTTACCAATAACACCTTTTAAAAATAGATCTTTATCTTGGGATTATACTGAGGATTTGGGTGAAACCCCTAAAACTAAAAGAGGCCCTATACAGAAAATCAAATAGAATATAAATATATAGACAATCTCAATGAACTACTTAAAAGATTATATTTTATTGCATCTGAAGAAAGAGCTGGCAATAATAATTTTCACAATGAAAAATTAGGAGTTGTGCATTTAATTGCTGGAGAAATGGAAAATATTATTGATACTCCTAAAGGTATTGAATATTTAATTTCTCATGTATCTAGTTTACCTAAGAAAATAATTAAAGGATCAGGATTATTAAATGATTTTATAAATAATTTACCATTTGAACTCCATTGGCCAGGTAAAAACTATCTAGGTCCTGGTACAAAATTGAATGAAAGGTTAGCAAGAGGTGATAAACCTGTTGATAAGTTAGATGAAGCAGCAATGGAGCATGACATATTTTACAGAGATCATAAAAATGTTAAGGAAAGACATCAAGCTAATGAGATTCTTGAAAATAAAGCTTGGGAACGAGTTTTAGATCCAAATTCTACGTTAAATGAAAAGATACCTGCTTGGGTAACAACGAATGCTATGAAATTTAAAAGATTTTTTGGAATGGGTTTAAAATAATTAAATATATACAATTTTTTATCTTATAAATGGAGTTGAATTTAAATGATAATCAATTAAAGAAAGTCTCTTCAGCATATAAAAAGAAAGTTGGAGTTACTATTCAATTAAAGAATGAACAAATTGGTAATGGAAACAATAAATTCATTTTAAATCAACGTCAAATTAATAAATTAAATAAGGCTAAAAATAATGGTACAGGAATTAGATTAGAACTTAAATATGATCAAATAAAATCAGGTGGTTTTTTACCGTTGCTATTAGCAGGTATTGGTGCTCTAGGATCATTAATCGGAGCAGGAAGTGCTATAGCTAATACCGTGATCAATAAGAAAGCTAAAGATAAAGAGTTAGAGGAACAGCAAAGACATAATAAAACTATAGAAGGAAAAGGTTTAAAAAAGATTAAAAAAAAAAAACAAAAAATAATACCGTTAAGCAATTATGATATATTATTATATTCAAAAAATATTAAAAATTTTCGAGGTTGTTTTATGAAAAATGAATTACCATTAGAACCAAATAAAAATGAATGTGGAATATTAAACTTAAATAATTCTAATCAAAATGGATCTCATTGGGTTGCTTGGTTTAAAAAAGACGATTTCAAGTTTTATTTCGATTCTTTTGGAGATGTTAATCCACCGATTGAGTTAGTAAATTACTTTGGAAAGGATAATCTTTATTATAATGATGATAGATATCAAAATTTTAATGATCCGCCCATATGTGGACACTTATGTTTAATTTTTTTAAACACTATTACAAAATTTTTTTCCTAATAAATGGAACCAATCTTCGATAAATATTCATCAAACATTATTAAAAACGAATATCAAAATTTTCAACCTATATCAACGTTAAACTTAAACACGGTTAATAAAAAAACTGTTTTTAAAATTGATGTGGGAGATAATTTTTTAGGATCTCAATTTCAATATTACATATCCGGAAAGGTGGTTAGGGAAGATAATAATAATAATGAATTAGACCAAAATAATACTGTTCACCTTATTGACAATTTTCCTGCTTTTCTATTTTCTGAAATAGAAGTTAGGAAACATAGTAAAGTAATAGACCAAATTGAAAGTGTTGGAGTTGCTAGTACAATTAAAGGAATTGTATCTTTCTCTCTAGATAGAAATGGTCCCACAATTAATTCAGGATTTGAATCAAATTACAAAGCGAACGTTCATTCTTTTTCAGTGGTTGGTAACCTGTCTAATTTTGGATTAGGATTCTTCAAAGATGTTAAAAATCCAATATTTAAAGGTGGTTTTGAGTTAATTTTTACTAGAAATGACGATCATTTTGCTATTCGTAAGGAAGCAACTGATCCAAGAGCAAAAATAATCATTGAAGAATTTCTTATTCGAGTACCAATCATAACATATGATGATATGTCAAAAGTTCAACTAATTAATGACTTAAAGGAATTATCACAGAAAAATGAATATTTATTTAGCTTTAGATCGTGGCAATGCATTCAGAATAAGAATATTAGTGGAAAGACTCTTAATTTAGATATTACAAACATCTATAGAAATATACACAATCCTTTATTTGGATTTGTTGCTTTTCAGTCAAACAAAGACTCAAATTATAATCAAGATAAAAATTGTAGCGAATTTAATAATTGTAAAGTCAAAAATATTTGGTTTGAAGTAAATAGTAAACGATATCCTGAGGAGATGTTAGATTTAGATTGGGATAAAGAAAAATATTCTATTGCATATGACATGTTAACTCACTACAAGAAAGTGTTTGTTAAAACTCATAATGAATTACCTCTGATATATATTAATCCAGAACAATTTAAAAATGGTAAACCTTTCTTCGTTGTTGATTTAACTAGACAACCTCAAAACACCAGCGAATCCAAAAGCAATATTCTTTTACACGTTGATTTTGATGTACCAGTACCACCTAATACCATTTGTTATGTTTGTATGGTGTCTTACTCCGAATTTGTATATGACATTGTTAACAATACCGTTCGAGAGAATATATAAGATTCTATCAATTTTTTTCTACTTATAAATGAAGTCATATTGTGTTAAATGTAAAAGTAAAACAGGTAATATAAATCCACAATTCATTATAACTAAAAACAATAAAAAACTGTTAACATCAAAATGCTCTATTTGTAATAAAAATAAAACATCTTTTACAAAAAAATAAATAATATAAATGGAAGGTAGTCAATTTTGTTATAGTAAACATTTTTTCTGTTTTTGTAAATTATCATTATTAAATCATAAATTTTTAGGTAAAAAATCTTTATATTGTAATTAGCCCTTCACAGCAAAAAACTAATTCTAAAAAGAAAATAAAATTATAATTAAATGGATTATTGTAGAAAGTGTAAAAAACAAACTAAAAGCATTGATCTTCCTAAATTTATTAAAAAGAATAAACGTTGGAGAAGAATATCGACTTGTAAGGTTTGTGAATCTGTTAAAAATAATATTTCCAAGTCGCCAGAAGATATTGAAATTGAAGAGTTATTTAAACCAGCTAGAAAAAATTTTGTCACTAGGAAATTTATTCAAAAAGAAATTGATG